AGGTATCACTCATAAAACCTAATTTAAGAGATACAATATCTACTTACACTATCCAACCCCTAGATCATCACAAAACAAGATGAGAGAAATAGTTCTATTTAAGTGAGGTGTGCCCCTAAATTTCCATAAGAGAGAGAGAGCTTTCTTAAGTGAGGTGTGTCCCCTCTATTTTGGCATTCTTGAGAGAGATAGAAGAGAGATTTAGGTGTAGAGGTTTATGGGCATGGGGTCCTCTTTCTATAGTGCACAAATAGGATTAGGGTTTTCAATAATTTGCCTCTTCTAGTCATATTCAATATGCACCATTAATCTTAGGTGACTTGTTAGGCGAGATATTTGAAGCTTTCATTCTATATATAGGCCATCAACATCATATGGAAGGTGTTAGAACATTTGTCCCCTATTCCCTAAACCATTTTCCTATCAATAGAAATTAAACAAATTAATTCAAACATAATATTGTGCTTACCAAAAATATGCACAAGCTTCGTAATGCTTTTCAAAAATCCATTCAAACCTTCCTCAAGGCAATAGCTTTCCAAAACACATAACAACTTGGGCTTCAAGCCAAATCAATTCAAGTTGAATTATTCAACACAACAAAATGGAAAGCCTTAAATAGGTGGGGGGTGCCACCCATGAGGGCATCTCATGGGCCCCACCAATTAAGCCATGGTGGGCCCATGTGCACAAATACATCTCTATGCAATTTTGAATATTTTTAAATTAACAAAATAATTTTATAATTTATTTGAATATTTAAAATATTGTAAAATTAAATATCCTTGTTTTTATAAATTCAAATTTAATAAATAAAATATCCAGAGATCTATAAAAAATCAAATAACAATTCTAAAAGACATATATCATTAAAACAAACATATAATTAAATTCAATAGATGGGAAAAAGATCCATATAGTATAAGAATTAAACAAATAAACACTGGGGACTGTAAACTACGGTCCATACTTGCTTTTTCAAACTGAACCAATGTTGCCCATGACCCATAGTCCATGCAAGGGCTCATTAGTGAGTTATTAAAGTCTAGCCAATGGGCAAGGGGGTGTTATCCCACTTTATGGATTTCAGGTTTTTCTCTAAAGACGTACCAAGGTCACCAAGACCTGATGTGACCATAGCTCATATGGTACATAGGGGTATCTCTCGCACATGCACAAGCTTCACCCTGAAAGGTGATTCACGTTCCCTAAACGACTATTATATATGCATGCCGTGTGATGGCATGCGGATGAGGCCACACAGTCCCTTGGCTCACTCATCAGGACATACTCCGACCTCATCAAAGGATGACCTATTAAAACCCTTATCGGATTATTTTATATGCTCAGTAACATAGGTTTTTCCTAACTGATTGGCCTAGTTCGTAAAGCTCAGTTCGGTATCAGCAAATGTTATTTGTTTAGTATGGTCTACGGGGGACTACACTCCAATTGAGTTCATGTTGCATTATATCAAAATGTTTATTACAAGCACTCATAAAGCCTTTAATAGCCACACTCACTCAACATTCTGGTGTCAAAACAACTATGATGCCCAAAAAACCTATTCGTCACTTCTAATTATGAAATTTAAAACTCAAATAATGTATATTGAGCATAGCTATAAACAATTGAATATAACATGTATTATTTCTAGAACCTGAAATCCTTGTTTCCATATTTATAAATTTTGATATTGAAATGATCAATTGAAATATTTTCCGACATCCAAACAATCTTTTGCCCAATTCGTTACCTTTGTAAAACAAGTTGATACCTCGTAAAAAAATTTCTCTACGAGCATGTTAGTTTTTTGGTTGAGGTATGTATGAGGTGTATACTATACAAGTAAGGCACACCTCTAGATTTTGTCAAAAGACGTACTTCTGCTGTGTTATGATGGTTTGAAAATTCGTGTTGAATTTCAATTATGAAGCATAACATTTTAGTACAAATCGAATAAATATAAAAATATAAAAATCTTGATAATAGACATATCAGATAATTTGTTACAAAATGTATTAATTTTAAAATTTTAAAATTATTATTTTTGTATATAATGAAATAATCAATTGGAGGTTTTACGATCCAATGAGTATTCAAGTTCTTTAATTTTTATTTTTTATTTTTTTTTAAAAAAAGTCAAAGCAAAAATCCGAAAACTTAGTTTAAAAAAAGAAAACGCAATATAAGGTCCATAGTATCTGGGATTCTGACACGTGCTTACTAAAAATATACCACGTCAGCACGGATATTAAGAGTCGGTTTTTAACTGGTGACCTGCCCGCAGTAAGCGCGAAACTGTAGCTCGTAGAGGTAACAATTTCCTCGAAAATATAAATCACCCAAAAATTATAAATAAAATACTTTAAATAGAATAAACTATTCCCTCTTTTTTTAATTTTAAGAAAAAGGGAAATAGAATCATTAAGCAGGAGCGTGATTCCCAGCTGTGCAGGCCCCACGTGGCGCAAGTGGACGGAAATCGCTCAAGAAAGCGACAAAACACTACGGATAGTGACGTTACCCGTTGCTCGACCGGTTACTGCCGGTCCCCCCTGGAATCTCTCCGGCGATAGTCACCGGAAGAACCGGTGCGTCGTGATGTCAGCGGCATGTGAAGTGGGGTTGAGACGTGCGAGAGTCTTGGGGTTGGTGGGGTGCTTACGGGGGGGCAGTTTTGATTCGCCCGTGGAAAAGAGTCAGGGCCCGTTACTGGACTATGACTATTTCCCTCCTTGTCCTTCTTCAAATGACGAGTATTTCATTTTCATCTTCTTTTTTGCCCTCTAAATTCCCTCCTCCAATATTGATATTTATTTTTTTTAAAAAAAATATTAAAGCACACCTCAATAATTTCACCAAAAGAGGTTGTTGTGTTGCTCAAATATCTTCAAATTTGATCATCTCGACATTAGGACGTACATACATGTGGAAGAAATGATTTCAAGTTTTAGAAAAAACGCATCTTGTAAAGCACTTATGGATCGTCAATTTTCAAAATTTTCAAGTTTTTATAGATTTGTTCGATCTACACTATTTTTTAAATTTTATAATTAAATATGAAAATATATTTTAATGCTATCACAAAGATTTTCAACATTAAAACAACATTTCTCGACACTATTTGAAGGTGTGCTTTTATGTTGATTGTTTAGAGCCTCGTCTCTATACAATCTGCACCCTTTTAAAATACAGTCACTTAGTAGCTTTACAAGTGTTTTAAAAATCGGCCAATCAGACTGAAACCAGTCTGTTCAGATTGAAAATCGATAAGGTCGGTCCGGCTCTACCAATGTATGGGGAACCAGTCAGATCATCTGGGGAACCAGCTAGTTCGCTAGCTGGTTCTATCGAAGCAAAGGTCCAAACTAAATTTTTTTATATTTTTTTGTTGTCTATTTCTTGTAATTATATATTCACCAGGTTACGGGGATCACAGATCGGCATGTCGAAACTAGTTTGTCCCAAGAGACGATCCCGCTACGGTGCTTTAAAACCCAGGTTTCTTCGTACATATTTCCACTTTCCAGGCTCCATTGAGTGAAAGGAACAAAGACTATAAAAGTTACCAAACCCAAGAGGAAGATTCTCTCTGCATCTCTACATACTAGACCTTAGTCCTTCCTTTCTCTCTCTTAACTCCTAAGTCTACAACCTCAAGATGTATATCTCTTTCTCCCTTACTACCTTCTATCTTTTCCTTCCAATAGGAAGATGTTCCCTTCATACAATATAAACTTTGATTTTCGCAATTCAAATTATTTTGTACCCTCATGAGTGCATTTCTTGCGTTCGCACCTCGGGAAGAATCCATTCCAGGAATATTTTTAGGACCACCATTTACCTGACGTTTCTTTAACCTAGACAACAGCCTAAAAGGAGTGCTTTAAATGACCAATGTCATGTGATTAAATAGAGGTTCTCAAATTCACGGTTCCCAAACTCAGTTGGTTTAACTCGAAACCAGCCGGTCAAATTGGAAAGTATTTTTTAATGTTTTTTAAAAAATAAACAAATATATATATAAAATCTCAAAAAATAAAAGATTTGTTTGTAATGTGTTTTTTAATATTTTTTTATCAATTTGGTAAATATTCGAAAGTGTTTTGATCATGAATAAATTTTTTTTACATTCTTCCATCTTTTTTAAAAATTTTGAAAATATCTCTAACTACAAATCGATTTTTTAATATATATATATATATATATATATTATACTTCTTGTCAACTTTATTTGGATGTATTGTGTTTAATAATGCTTTAAACATACTTTTTAAATTTCATTAGAAACACTTTTTTGACCGCCCATGATCTATTCGATTATGCCGATTGAACCAGCCGGTTTACCGGTTACTTGGATCCGGCCCTTGGCCGATTTTCGAAACCGATTCTATTTTCTAAACACTTCTCTACTTTTTTTTTTTTTTAGAGGGTCATATCTATGGTTTTAAGAACTCAAAATGCATTTCGTCTTATGAGCATTAACTCTTAGGTGGATCAAAATTTAAGCTATAAAAAATCCTCTTCAAGTAACTCTTTCATCTGAAGGACCAAAGGGTAAATAATACTCCCACATGAGCATGCCACACGCAAAACCATCTCCCTCCCAATTGAAGCCAAAGCCCATGCCTCTTCGTAAATCTCAAGAAATTTTGCCAGCTTCACTTTTATTTCCATATGCTTTAACTCTAACAAAGTTGAAATATTCATATATATAGATATGGAATTTGGAATTTGAGCTTCAAGGGTCTATTCGAATAGACACTTCTTACCGATCCAAAACGCTAAGGTTTATAAAAGTCACTAAAATGGTGAAAATTAAATCGAGTGGTCCCAAGAAGGTTTATAAGACCTCGATGGAAATGACTGAGGATGTTACTGTGATTTTCTAGTAAGTTTTCAGTTGATAGTGATTGCATTGAAGTATATGTCATTTGAATAAAAGACCAGGGCTTGAGTCCTGTCATCTCTCAATTATTATAAGCGCAGGAAAGTACATGCTTGAAGAGAGAGAAAGGCAAAGAGAGAGAATCAGGCGAATTCTGGAAGCGGTTCATAGGGAGTTGCAGGTTTTGAAGCCAACGGCTTCTCAAATCCGCCTGGTTTCCATAGACCCACCTGCTCTCTTCCCTTCCCTTTATAATATATGTTCATGCATATATATATGTATAAGCAGTAGAGAGAGAAAGTCCCAGTGCCCTAGTGAGAGAGAGAAACAAAGAGAACGTCTCTATAGACGTTACAAACTTTGCAACTACAAAGATCAGTCTTTTCTCATCAAGAGAAAGAGAGGCTTCTCTAGGGAGGGGTTAGCATAACATTTTAGAGAGAGAAATAGGTCCTGTCTTTTAGAGAGAGAGAGAGAGGGTTTCCTGGATCCATGGATTTAAGGTACCCAGTTTGCCGTGACCGATACAACGGAAGAGCAGAGGAGACGGTTCTTGATGTTTTTGAGTTTGAAGAGAGAGAAAGCTCTCTAGAGATGGAAGATACCCAGATGGTGGGTCACTTGTACAGGAGAAGTAGAAGCCTGCATTCCAATGGTGGTTTTTCACATGAATCACGAAGCTTTTACGATGGTGGTGCGCATTTCCTTCAAGCTTGCCATCTCTGCAACAAACCTTTGGGAAATGGGCGTGATATCTTCATGTACAGGTGTGTTTGCGCATCCAACGCCTTCCTTTTTATAGAGAGAGAAAGTTGTATCTGTTTTCTTCTCTCATCGTTTTCTTTGTTTCTCTCTCTTTTTCTTCAAGTAAGAGAGAAAGTCTTTTTTTTTTTTTTTGAATATTTAGAGAGAGTAAGCTTTCTCTTTCTTGTTCCTTAGTTTCCATGATGATATTTTGTTACCGATCTGATAAGTTTTTTTATTTAAAAATATGGAAGATGGTTTTCAGTCCTCGGCTTAGTAGAGTCAGGGGCATAATTGTCCTTTTGGAGGAGAAAAAGGAAGACTTCGGGCCTGGTGTTCAGTTTCTAGAAGACGCCTGCAGGCGGTAGATAAATTTTTTGTACACTGAAATCCCTCAATTTCTGTCCAATGCCTGACTCCTGCTATTTTAGCTAAAAATGACGATTTGTTACCATGTAGAGTGGGGGACATAGGTACTAATACCTGAATGGTACTTCCATCTATTTTAGGGGGTATTTTGGTGTTTTTTAGAAACGTTCGAGTCAAGGCACTTCGCATTTTGCAGCCGTAGTTGTATCTTTGAAAAGTTTATATAAGGCTGAGGGAGTAAACAATTAAATTAAGGCACACATAAAAAATTCGGTTGTTTTGATTCTCATAAATCTTCAAATCGACTATCTCGCCCTCCAGCTGTATTGGCACAAGAAAAAATAGATTTTAAGTGATGTATTTTTGTAATGTATTTTATAAAAGATTTTCAAGTGTTCATAGACACGTTTGAATACCGGAATCCATCCGATTAGTTGAGAAAAGAATGATGACACTATTTTTTACTATTTAAATTTTATAATCAGACATGCAGAAGATTTCCTTAAAATGACAAGGTGCGTCCTACTTTGATTGTTTAAGGCCTCAGCCTCATACAAAACCGCACCCTTTATATTTTAATTCCCCATTAATATTTGGTGAAGGGGGTATGTATGTATTATTGTAATTTGATTTTGGGCGAGTGGAGGGTGATGGGGTATTTTTGGAAGTTGCAGGGGCGACACTCCATTTTGTAGCGAAGAGTGCAGAGAAGAGCAGATGGCGAAGGACGAGGCCATGGAAAACAGGCGCCGCAGCAGCCCCTCGTCAAACAACAAAAAACAAACCAAAACCACCAGAGACGATAATTTCCATGTCAGGGCCGGCACCGTCGCTGCTGGCTAACCAAAACACCCTCAACGTCATCCAAAATAACTATCATACCCCTCAATTGGAATTTCCGGCAATTGCACCCCCACCAAGATGGAGGGGTATTATGGGCATTGGAAAGTTGTTTAGGGGTATGATGGTCCTTGTTTGGAAATAAGGTGGTGTTGTAATGGTGCACATAAAGTTGGTGCCTTTTCCCGGTTATTGTATATTGTGAGGAGTGTTTTTCTCTGCAAGGATTACGCGGCACTGCTATTGGGAAGGCCAAAATTGTGTGCGTATAATAATAGTTGTAATAGTTGGGAGGTTTTAGTTGTCCGAAATATTTTGTCTTACGAAGTGAGATATATATATATTTCGTCTTGATTTAGAGTAAATGTTTATATACGGTGTCAACTTTATTCCAAGTATGGTGCCCACAAAAAAATCCATTGGAGAAGGTTTCTATGTAATCTCGACCTCGAGATTCATAGATGTGAAAAAAAAGATGTTTTTTAGTCTTAAAAATTGTTCATTTTTTAACATATTATTTGGGCCATCTATTTTCAAGATTTTTAAGTGTTTATAGATTTATTTGATAGTCACCATTTTTTGTAGTGTGAATTTCTTTATAAAAGGCCAGCAATAAATTTTCATATCACCACAAGACTTTGCTGGTGGACCTTACTTCGACATAATTTTACTTCAGTGGTATGAGGTTGACACCTTAAATTTTCCTCAATGGGAAAGCTTTTTAGGCGACCCTACTCACATATAAATTATAGGTGACCCTATTTCTTAGCCACTCAATCTTACTTAATGGCTAGGATTAAATCGTTGCTTGTTTTTTTAGTTTTTTTTTGCTACAAAACTTTTTGAGTGAAAACGATGCAATATGCCAAAATGCTCCTTGAATTTTAGTTCTCTTTCTCTACAAAAGATTTTCGACTGAAATTTAGGATGTCCCATTTTCTTATGGGTGTGGTTTGTATAGAGCATAGGCTCTAAACAATCAAATTAGAACCTACCTTCAAATAGTATTGAGAAATGTGGTTTCAATACCGGAAATACTTGTGATAGCCTTAAAATATATTTTCATATTTATTTAGAAATCTTAAGGATTAAAAAAAAATGTAGATCGACATATCTTTGAAAACTTGAAAATGTTGAAAATTGACGATCTTGAAATGTATTGCAAAATACACTATTTTCAAAACTTGAAATCTATTTTTTTCTCGTGTCCAGGCATTTTGATGATCAATTTGAAGATATTTGGGCAACAAAACAACCTTTTCTAATGAAAATTTTGAGCTCGTGTCCATGCATTTTGATGATCAATTGGAAGATATTTGGGCATCAAAACAACCTTTTCTAATGAAAATTTTGAGCTCGTGTCCATGCATTTTGATGATCAATTGGAAGATATTTGGGCATCAAAACAACCTTTTCTAATGAAAATTTTGAACTCGTGTCCATGCATTTTGATGATCAATTGGAAGATATTTGGGCATCAAAACAACCTTTTCTATTAAAAATTTTGAAGTAAGCTCAAATATGCTCGTTTAGAGCCTCAGCTCTATATAAACTTTTCCCTTTTCTTACCGGGGAGCACCAAAAAAAAATTTCTAAGTGAAAATAAATATCCCTAAAATTTTTAGGGGTATTTTGGTAATTTTTTACCGTAAAATATCGTTATTAATAATAATAATAATATTATTATTATTTATCAGGTCCACCCCTATCTGATGTATGCATCCCTCCCTCAAATATCGCTACAAAATGATTTATTAAATAAATATAAAAAATAAAATACTTTGAGATATCGAAACACGATGATGTGATGCTCAAGATCCAGCTTAGACGATTTGATGGAAACCTGGTTAAAATATCAATAAAAGAATAAAATTTGGGGGGCTTGGGGGAGGGCCTTGTATCACCTACCGACCAAATCCAGTCAAGATATTCCTGATATGGATCACGGATTTTTAAAGCCCTTGGGTTGTTTCTTATTCTCAAGAAAAAATCCAATGCAAAATGGTAACAAACAGTATTCTTATTGTCAAGAAAAATCCAATACAAAATGGGAAGCAAACAGTAAATTTTTTGAACGAATTTTGGCTAAAGAACACTTCATCGGATGGTCCTAAAGGGGTGGAGAGTAAAAGTGGGTCAATACCTTGAAGAAACCGGCTTTCCTGAAAGGGTAAAAAGTAGTAACACAGTGACAAAGATTGTTCTCGTGAATTTCAACGGAAGGTGATTTTGTGGAGGAGGTTTTCCAAATATCATTTTTTCACGGCTACTTCGTGACAGAATTTACGGGCCGTTTGCCAACCGGACAATCCATTAAGTGGAAAGCGATTTTCATGAAATCTCTCATTTTCACCCTTTCGGTACACAACAATTGGGTATGATAGGGAAGTATATTACCGTTCAAGGGGTCAAAATCATGAAATCGATCTTCCGCCTGCAAACCAATGAATGGATTACGGGTTTTGACGGGTAATCTATTTCGGACCTCAAAAAACACTCAACTATACTTTGTTATATTAGGGTTTGAGGTCTGTTTAAACCTTTCATGACTCTCATTTTAACAGTAAATCCACCATTCAAAACTCATTCTAACATTGGCCTTTATAATTTAAAGGATTGTGAATTGTAAATTATCTCTTCAAAGATATGCCAATTTTGCTCCGTCCAACTAATACAGACATTGTAGTTTAGAACATCATGATCTTATATCTTCAAGTAAGTCTGCCACTTGATGTAAACCACCCATGCTTCTTTTTAATTTAAGCTATATTAAACTGTGCTTCCCTTTTTGTTACAAGTATAGTGTTACTTGTAGAAAATATATTTAACATTGTTCGGAAATTAGATTTTTTTAATGTTGGAAGAAGAAAATGCAAGTTATCCATAATACCGGAAAAAGAAAACCATGCTCATATATAAGATATATGGAAAACGTTTATATAAAGTTGACATCTTAAAAGGTAGAATTTAGGTGCACCTCTAAAATCATTCAAAAAGGTTGTTTTGATATTGAAAAAACATCTAATTGATTATCTTGACATCGAGATGTATGGTTATGAATAAAAAAAGAGTTTTCAAGTCCTAAAAATTGTACATCTTACAACACATTATCTAGACCGATTATTTTCAAAATTTTCATAAATTTATAGACCTGCTGGATTTGAACTATTTTTGAAGTTTAAAATGTTGTAGTTAGAGATAAAAATAGATTCCCGCAACTTCCTAACAATTTTCAACACCAAAATTGCATCTCATGACAAACTTTAGAGATGCACTTCGCATTTAAAATTGTAACCTTATACAAATCACACTCAAAATATTTTGGCTGATACGTTTGCACCGGATGCAACTCGTGACTTCTCATGTGGAAGAGAAAGTGCCTGATTTGAAATTACTTGCTCCAATTTTAAATGTGGTGTCTCGATAAGGAGCTCGCTAGAAAACGCCTAAACGGCTGGAAGAGTATTTGCTACTTCAACAACCAGCTTTTCTCTCTCTACCTTCGAAAAACCACAAAAAAGACCCATCTCATAAACACTATTTTCTCTCTCTACACCTGATAAACCATTAGAGCATTCTTCACTGCCCAACTTCCCCCTCTCTGCCCCATATAAATCATTCTAAAACCCATATACAATAACCCTTGTTTCTTTTCTCTTGCTCTCATAAAATACAAAAAAAGAAAAGGCAAAAAAAAACGGGTTTCATCAGACCCTGTTTCTCCCTCTCTTCCTTTAGAGAGAAAACCAACATATTTTTTTTCTTTTCCTTTTTTATATTCAATGCTCTTTATCGATGGTTCAAGCAAAATACAAACCAAAATTACAACACACTCAAGACATCACTACTGATCACTAACTGAGTAATGGAAACTCTTTGTTTTTTTTTTTTGGCAAAGGTTTCTATGCTTCCCTCTAACATGGAAGTTCTATCCTCCTCCTACCATCCAGCCGTCCAATTTTGATTAAGAGAGCCACTCACCGTTTGATCTTAGATCCAATGTCTTAAAATATTTTATTTTTAGTTTTTTTATACAAATTGCATGAATATGAAATTTGGTACATGTCATCTTCTCATTGGAGTGTAATCATCAAAAAATATTAAAAATAATTTTTCAAAGAAATATAATGACCAAAATACCTCTTGAATCTCTCAAAGGTATTTTGGTCTTTTTATTTTATTGAAAATATTTTTTTTATATTTTTCGCTAGCACGAGTATAATAGAGGAATGAACGTCCAAAATTTGGTATCAAAATAGTTTATAAAAATAATTTAAAAATAAAATAGTGTAGAGACGTAACATTATGATTGGAGCAATCTTAAAGGGAAGGATAGAACTTCTATACTGTAGGCGAAGCATAGAAAGCTTACCTTTTTTTTTTTTTGCTGACTCATCAACTATACCATTGGCTTCCCAGTAGACATAGTAGAAAGATACCCTTAGAGTTACTACGAGATCCATAATTTGTAGCCAACATTGGCGCATCTGCCACTGAACTCTCTGTTCTCTCTTACACCATAAAATGATATTCAAAGAATCCTCTTCTACCATGAAAACTACATCCATCTGCCTATCCTTCGCTATCTTCAAGCCTTGCAACAAAGAGTCACCTCGGCCTCATTCGCAGTCCTTCAATGTCTTCAAGCCTGGCAACAAAGGGTCATCTCGGCCTCATTCACAGTCATAATCCCACAAGGTCCCGCATAGCACAGCACCACATTCCTATTCCAATCTCGAAGAACTCCACCCACATCTGCCCTTCTCGGATTTCCCTGAGAGCAACCATTGAAGTTTAATTTCCCTTCCCGGAATTCCTTGAGAGCTACCATTGAAGTTTAATTTCAAACAACCATGCATTGGTAGTGTCAACTTCACTTTTGGCCTATATTTTGTTGGTGGTCTAAGGCCAAGTGGATAGGTACACAATCTTTATAAATTTTTTATTGTATTAAAACTTAATGGTTTAAATACATGATGGATAAAGTTTATATAAGAATGCAACCTATTAAGATAGAACTATGGATGCACCTAAAAAATCCATTGGAAAAGGTAGTTTTAATATTGAAAAACCCTTTGATTGATCACCTTGACATTGAGATGTATGACCAT